AGTGGTGTGACTGTAACAGTAAAAGCTGCTCTCCTATCACAGCTATGCTGAGCTTTGGTCGCACACATCCAGCATGTCCGTACCAACAGCTGGCACAGCTTTCATGGGTTAAGTCCCATTGGCTTATCCTCATCACGGTGTTTATTCAGAATTCAAATTGAATTTCTACCCACCATAAAAGCGACCAAAGAAATCTCAACCAAGATTTAAAGTGGGGCCAGGTGCAGGTAGGACAAAGGGCAGCACGCTGCTCAGTGTCACGGGCACCAGAACAGCCAAAGCCCCACTGCTCTGCTCACCTCCATCCTGCTGAGCACAGCAGCTCACAGCTCCAGCGCTTTGCTCTTGCCCAACACGCAGCCTCAGGAGGAGTAAGCTGAACTTGCTAACCCAAGTAACAACTGAAGCAGAGATAAGCCGTACACGCTTGCTGCTAGCTGAGCCTGTATGGAAACCCCCTGCAATGCTGTGTGTGTCACCACTGCACTGAGTCCACACAGTGAGACCCCTGCACCAGCTGACAGTGGCTGTGCTCTGGGCCCACTCTAACAGTGCTCTTGCTGTCCCAGCACGCAGCTGCTATTGTGGCACTACTGATGGGGGAAATGGTATCTGCAAAGAGCTTCCAAACTTCTGTGATTCAGTGGAACACCATCAGCTACCTATGTGAACTTCTGCTAAAACAATGTACAGAGTAAAGACATCACAAACTCAGAAGAAGCTACCTCACATTATTTTAGAATATTTGTTATGGTAAGATATTAAGAACGTTCTGTTCTACTGCATGAATTACCAGTAACTGAATGCCTTTCCAAGAAGGCAGCAGACCTGTCCTGCACACCGCACCACTGATGGCACACCTGGACACAGAGGCTACCCAGGCACATGCAGGACATGGGGCTTAGACCTGTCCCTAAGAAACGCTCAGCAGAACCTGATGAGGCTGATAAGAGCACAGTGGCTGCAGGACAAGCTCATGGTGGCAGTGCTGGTAGACAGGAGGAGCGGTGCTCCCGCAGCGATGGGCACAGCAGAGCACTCCATCCACAGACAGCACTTGTAAGAGATGCAGGAGAAAGGGTCACCCATGTCAGCATTCTTGAAAGAATTAAAGAGGGAGAAGGGGGATCAGGAAGACCTGTAATGACACATGGGCTCCATTAAGCTTCTTAAATCATCACCTTTCCAAGTCAGCTCGATTGCTCGATCAGCCGAGCCTGCATGCCAGCCTGCGTTCCCCTCTGCTTCACCCAGCCCATAGAAGCGACTGGATCATTCCAAATTCGAACCTTTACCAGTTACACCAATGCAACACAGCAGCACAAGGAAAATGTGCAGAAGTTGTTTTTCTTTTAACCAACTTCTGCCTTGGTTCTTCCTGGAAACTTTACCCAATCGTCACCTGAATTAACTTGGGCTGACTAATTTGCCTGAGTCAGTTATTTGCCTTTAGAATATCCCATACTGCTTATGGTTATGAAATGTCCAAGGGCAATAAAGACTATAACAAAGGTGGCACTTATGTGACAGACGATGATACACCACACCACCCAAACAATGACATGGATTAGCTCAGACACATCAAAGCTCCACAACTGGTCCTTTTCTTCTTCCAGATTTTAGGAAATACAGCCACTGCATTTGGAAAAGCACGCACAACAGATCTCACCCGTGTCCTTCACAACTCTCCTCAGAAGTTCAATTCCTTGAAAACTCAGGTGAATGATTCCTTCCGTTTCTGTTGCACGCTGCACCATTAAATGCACTGATAGCTCAGATCCTGGAAGGGCTGCTCACAACAACCGATACAAATTCTCCCAGGAACAAAGATGGCACTGTATGCTTATGCTTATTCCAGAAGCCAGCAGCTTTATGGGATACTCTGACACATCACTACATTGAATTTCCCACACCCTCTGCACAAGGTAGAGGCTTCTAAATCTATCCCCCATCAGTCACCCAACAGCTGGTGGCCAGGACAGGAGCATTCCTCCACTTGCAGTGTTTACGAGGGAGTTCTGCTGGATGGAGGTCAGTGACTCGGTGCTGTGCTTCCCCCAGCCATGGGCTCACACACACTGCAATCCACCCAGCTCCCAGGGAACGCACTGGGAAAGAAAAAATGGAAACTGTAACGGGATCAGAGCTAAATTCTCACACTTCACATATAGAGAAAGCTACAAAAATCTTTTGGAGAAAAAAACAACCAACAAAGCAATCTCTATTGCCAGACTGGGCAACAGCAAAAACAGGACAGGGTGTTTGGGAAAGCACCAACACCTACTGACTGAAACTAACGCCATCCGCTGCCATGCTGCCCAAGCTGGATCCAGTGCACAAACATCACTGCAAGGCACTGGGGACTGAGGCAGGCCCAAGCTCAGCGCAGCACTGCGATCCCAGCACTGTGATCCCAGCACTGCCACTTTCCTTACTCACCCACTGTGATATTTCCAGCCATAGGGTACTTGCAAAGAAAACCCTCACCATTCACCGATCTCCTGTCCACCCACACACATCACCACTGGGCGAGCAGCTCTCCCCATGCTCACCTCTTGTGTTGCAGCAGTAACTTTTGTCACCACCCAGTCCCATTTCCTTGCTGGAATACAGACAGGAAGTCAAGAAAATGGGTACTCCACAGCCTCTTTCCTCTCCAAACCCATTCTACTTGCAGAAAATTCATTTCAGCTCTCATTTAATACCGAAAACCACAAGCAGTCACTGATGCAGCAGCCACATCTCCCTGTGCCCCACACTTCAGTGTAATAGCAGTGCCATACAGCACTCCCATAACCTTCTACCACCCCAAGTTTTTGGCAAAGAAATTCCACTACTCACTACTGAAAACCTTTCTTTTTATTTAAGAAAACAAGTGCCTATCTTTTGAACGAGTCTTCTCATCTGTACTTATCCCACAGTTCACATCAAGATCAGTTTTTCCAGACTGACGGTGTTCATTTTCATCAGCAACATTCTCAGTAGTTCCTCCCAGCAGGGATAACACACGTATATCTGCAATACTGGTTCCGTTGGTCTAGTTAAGAGATTAAAAAGGATCTCAATAAAAGTACAGATGGTTATAGGTGTGGGCTTTACTGGGGAAAAAAAAAAGAACCAGAAGATGTTGCAAGAAGCAACACGCAAGGATGGTGACAGAAGACAAATGTATTTATGAAAGGCACAGTGAAGAAGTGCAGCTACCTCCTCCTTAACTCACAAAACAAGAAAATACACGCAACCAACTGCACTTGGTAAGCAAATTAAGAATACAAACACACCTTAAATCTCAGATGCTTACATGCAAAACAGTAATAAAATCAGAACCTGTTCTTATCTCTTCAATATAGTATTGCTAGTGGAGACCTCAATCACTGAATAAAGGCCATCTCTGTGCAGGTGTTTACAATGCTCCAGTCAATGATCACAGCTTGGTATAGCCCATTTTTCCAAGGTATCTCTAACACAAAAGGAAGCCAAGAACCCCATTATGAAGATACAGCAACTGTATGCTGAACGTTGGTGGCTACTCCTAAAGGGGGCAACTGAGCCTACACTAAGGACAACACGAAAGCACTACTGAGGAATCCATCTAACCTTCCTACAGCTTACACCTGCACAAACCAAGGTGCTTGGAAGGTTTTTTGTGATGCCAAATACCCGATGTGACACCTGTGGCAAAGTGTAACCATCCCAGCAGCTACAGGAGGCACACAGCATGCATTCTGAGAGCAGCTCTGCAGCACAGAGGGATCCAGTCCAGCAAACGGACTGGAGGAATCCTTCCAGCTTCATAGCAGTGTGACAGCACCGACTGCCACACACAGCCCTGCACAGCTCTTTCATAGATGTACAGCTTTCCTTAGCTGACATCAAAACACACGCGTTTGTCCCAGAGCACTAAAGCATTACTCAGCTGCATGCAGGGCTGCACCTCCATCATTAAAAATAGGCAAACGTGAGACCATTGCTAGAAGCATCAGCAGTAAAACACAGTCTAGCACACAAGTGCAGGCAGGATCCCTGCAAACAGCACTGGGCCTTTGCTCCTTCTGCAGCCCCAGCCAACAGCTCTACATGCGACATGACAGAAACCTCAGAACTAAAGGCACATCAGCGAGCTCAGACACAACAAGCACAGTGCTCGCGGATGGATGGAGGCCTCGTGGCCTGCGCTGCTCCCAGCCCGACACACAGCCAAGCTCCAGGCTCCTGCAATCCCCTCTGAAGAGCTGCAAACAACCTCAGCCTTCGCTGCATCTCTGGACACCAAAGCAGTGCCCAAAGCAGTGTTCAACCCCAGCACTGGGAAACACAGAGGGGCCACGCGTGTGGGGTGTGGGGAAGAAGCAGCAGAGATGAGCTCCAAAGGCACAGAGCAGAAATCCCTGCGGGCTCTCCAGGCCTGTTAAAGTGCAAAGAAGGGACTCCGCAGCCGATGGGATGGAAGTGCTCCTGCACACGCAGTGCCGTCTCCACGCTCAGCACGCACCAAGGTCACCACCGACACATAACTCCTCGCTTTGAACGAGAATACCCCGACTGTTACAGAACCGTAAGGAACGACTCAGGACGGTACCGCGGAGCGAAATCAGAAGGCCGAAGCGCCGCAGCCCCCAGCCCAGCCCGGCAGCACCCAGCACCGCACCGGTCTGAGCTGTTCCAGCTGCGATCGGCGGCAGCACCAAAACACGGAGCTCCGCGATCTGAGCGCCGGGCCCGGCCGCGCCAGGACAAGGCGACCGCCCTCCGCCTCCGCGCCTCCCGCAGGAGCCGCTCTCTCTCTCTCCGTCCCTCCCGCTCCGCTCTCCCCGCACGCAGCCCAACATCACCGGGCGAAGCGCTCCGCCGCCGCCGCACAGCGGGGCCGCCTCAGGAAGCCGAGCGCAGCCGTGAGGGCAGCGCCGCCGCAAAGCCGAGCCCGGGCCGCCGCCCGCCCGCCCCGCGACCCCCCCCGGACCGCCGGAAGGAGCCGGCCGCCCCCCCGGGCCTCTCCTCACCACGAGTACGTCTGCTCCGCCATGGCTGCGGCGGCCGGCCGGGCCCCGCGCTCCTCCTCCGCCGCCTCCTCCCGCGCCGGGCAGCTCCGGGGGCTCAGTGGCGGCCCCGCTGCGGCTCGCGGCCCAACATGGCGGCGGCGGCGGCCGCGAGGAGGGAGGGGAGCGAAGGGGGGATCCGCAGCCGGGCGGGGAGGGGATGGCGGAGCGGGCGATGGTGGTGGCGGCGGCTCGGCGAGGCGGCGCTTCAGCAGCCGCGACGCGGAGCCGCGCTCGGGCGCCGGCTGGGCCTCATGGCCGGCGAGGCGGCGGCGGCGGCGGCGGCGGCGAGGGGCGGGCCGGGGGCGGGCGGCGGCTGCCGGGCCGGGCCAGGCCGCGCCGCGAACCCGCGCTCGCGCTCGCGCACGGCGGAGGCGGAGCCCACGTGGGGGCGGGCGGTGCGCGGCATCACGTGCCCACAACACGCTCACGTGCCGCCGCCGCGCGCACGCGCGGGGAGAGAACTCGAGACCGCGGGGGGTGATGGTGGTTGCGGTTGTCGGGCCCGGCCGCGCCGCGACCGTGCGGGCGAGCAGGTAATGGTGAAGGCTGGGAAAGGGGCGGGGAGCCGGGCTCGTCCTGCCCGAGAAAGGGCTGTGCTGTGCTCTGGAGCTGAGGATGGGCTTTGTGCCGAGGCTTTGGGTTGTGCCGAAAGAGGAGCAGGCGGTAAACGCAAGGGATCCGGTAAGGTGGCTCTTAAATTCGAGCATTAAACGGAGCGTGAATTTCCCAGAAATGTGCCTTGGGCTGCTTTGCCCCAGCTCTGCTGGGTCGGTTTCCACATCAGGAAAGAGGGAACCGCAGTGCGCGCACATATTGCACGGAGGGAACACCTGGTACCTCGCTTCAGCTGCTCTCAGTAAGTTGGTGCTGCGCCTTGGAGGCTTCTCTGCTCCGTTTGTATTTGAAACGAGGTTAAGTGCTGCTCTGGAGGTGGAAGGAAGTCCCGTTCTCCCCGTTCTGTTTTCGGTAGGGTTCTTGCAGTGGTCCTACAGCTTTGGGATGCTGGCATGCAGCTCCACACAGCCCTTCAGCCTCGGGGGCAGGAAGGACGTCAGAGCTACTGCCATGATCAATGCTAAGAAAAATACGCTCGAAATTGGATTTATCAGCTGTGGGGGGAATACCAAAAGCACGGTAACCAACAGGCTCACTGGCTCCCCAATGGCTGCACTGTTAGATAGGAGTCCAAGCATCTGCTCCCAGCCTGGCTCAGGTTGGGCTAACTTGCGAGATGTTCTCCTCTCTTTGACCTCCTCTCTTTGCTCCCCCAGCTCACCCACCACCGCGCTGCCCATCTCTGTGCGCATTAAACTCTGCCGTGTGGTGCAAGGACAGCAGGATGAGTCACAGAGCCTTGAGCTGGAGGGAGCAGCGCCCAGCTGACCCCTCTGGTGGAGCTCATTGTTTCTCCTCTCCCCCTCCCCAATCTCAAACTAGGAAATAAGACAAGCTCAGACTTCCACAATAGAGAAATCTTGCTTTTCCTTCCTTGTCCCAGCAGTGCAACATGTCGTAACAATTAGAAAGCTAATAAATAATTTGAAATCTTCCCTCTGCTGTGATGCAATTCCAGGATAAGGACATTCATCCCTTTTCAGTGATTATGATACAATGAATGCAAAAGAAAAAACCTCTCCCCTCTTTTGAATCAACGCAGAGGAAGATAAACAAGTGTTTCAACCTTGTCTTGATACTCAACTTTTTTTTTTTTTTCCCCCCTGAGACGTTGTAAAACAGCACTGGCATCTATAAAGCAACAATGTTCCTGCTTATTGAAATCCTTCCAATTTCTATCTTGCAACATTTACAGCACATTAATTTGACACCAGTGACTTTTAGCTGGTGAGCTACTGAAGTATAATTTTTTTTTTCCAGCGTCTCAGGGTTGGTGCATAAACTACTACAGGATCTTGCAAGCTTGGTCTATCGTTACATTAGAGTAGCTGGATGAATTCACAGGAGAAACGTTCTCCTCCTTGCAGACACAGCACCTGCATTACTCTAAAGGGGAGCACAGCCTGCATCCCCCCAGATCATTTTCTCATCATCTCTTTTGTATGTGCTTGCTTTGGACCTACAGGGGAGCTTTACTCTGAATTTCAGTGAGAATGTACTCTGACATTACAAAGCCCTTCCAAAACAGCTGTTCTGTCTGGTGCCTTTGATATAGACTGATGCACTGCTTTGACCTGTCAAAGTATTTCAAAACTAGCAGCAACCAAAAATATTGTATTTTCTTTTATGTAGCTCTCAGAACACAGACGGGAAAGTATGGTGGAGAATCAGATCAAAGGACTGGCTGCAAAGTCCTCACCTCCTAAAGGCTTAAATGGCGTTATCCTACTCTGCCTTTATGCTTTTATAATGGAGGTAGAAAGAAAGCCAGAATAGATTCATGTAGATTCACTTCACCTTTCAGGAGAAGACATAATAAGTAAAGCTGTCAGCCCTGCGTGGCTTTGGAAGGAACAAATGGCATGGAAATGAGTATAAAGGGAATGAAAAAAATTAAGAGATCCAGTTTTGACAGTATAGCTCAGAGCTATGTTAGGTTATTCTGCTTGTAAGATCCTCATGGGATTCCCCTTGATAAAAAATAATTAAAACATGCTCTGACCAGTATATGACATGATTCTCTTCACTACCACCTAGTGGGAAACTCCTTCATTAACTGAGCTCCACAGCTGTTCCTATTCTCAAAGATCCTCACCCTGATGATGGAGGCTGTGTGTAAGTGAAGGGGGAACTGACAGATGAATGAGAAGGACGCTGTCCTGATTCTCTGTACCAGAATAAGAATTGTAAAGAGAAAGATCACCTCTAATTTAAGGCCATTGGATCCTAAGGCATTGTCACACCAGAACTCTGCATCCACTGTAGTTCTTAATGGCTGCTACAGCTCAGCCTCAGCATGACCAAGAATCCCAAAATTTAAACACAGCCTTTGGTCATAAAGAGCAAAACATTCATTCTTCTGAATGCAACTGCATCCTGCCAGCAGTGATAAGGAGGAACTTGTTAGGCTGTTCCTGTGTCTCAGTCACAATAGAGCACTGCCCTCTTAAAATCTTCTGATTGTACTCTTAATTATAATTTAATATAGGGAAGGAGGGAAAAAAAAATAAAATTCCTTCTTTGTAAAGTCATATTTTCAATGGTGTTACTATTCATATTTACAACAAAGATTACTCAATTAAAGCATTAAATGTGTATAATTGGGAACATTAACACGATGTATTCGAGTGAGTCCTTTCCCACTGAGATACCCAGGGTTTGCACCAACACTGAAATCTGTGTTGAAACCCTCTGGAAGCAACACAAACAGCAATTACCTTGGATTGCTCACAGTCCTGGGTACCACGTGGGACTGAGCGCCCGGGGTGCAAATTAGAATCGGTTTTGTCATTTGCATTCTTTTTTTTTTCCAACCGTGGAAATAGGAGTGAACACTGTAATAACAACTCTCAGATTTCACAGAGGTGATGTTAAATGCCATCCAGGCCAATGAAGCATTTAGCAGTCTCAGCAGGAAGAAGAGTAAAATGGTAAAGAATTACTAGGAGAACCAACCACTTCTCTGCATCTCTTTTGCCAGTGATAATGTTCCCACCGCATTCACAGCCCCATACAAGCTTGCTCTGCTAGCATTTCTGCCATCGAAATAGTTAGATTTCTTTCATTCCCTTTGTGTTCCTTGAAGTCACATTGGGCTGCCTTTATCTTAGCCAATTACTGTATTTTTCATCAGGAACACTTAAGGGTGGATATAACTCAGCACATGAAAACAAAGGTAACAGTCGTACTGATACTAGAATTCAGGCTTTGGGCATCTACTGTCTGCTCTCCATTCCGTTCCCAGTACCCTACTGTCTATTACTTGGGTTTTTCCCTGGTGTAATAAGGAGAATACAGACTAATAAGTCTAAATAATAAGAAAATCCTACTGTATACACATTTATACTTTCATGCAGCAGCTGTCAGTATTAAGTAATCCACAGTTCAATTACTCTATTAAATGCAGCAGAGAAAGATTACGTTGGAACAGTTAATGGAGGAAGACTGGAGGAAGTGGGCACATCCTTACCTAAAATGGCCTAGACTGTCTGTAATTCAGGAGCAGTGAAGAAAAACATAATTGAAAAACATATAACAGTGCAAAGCATTCAAGCATGTTTAAAGAGTCTTTATTATTGTAGAATGGAATTGTACAATGGCCTGGGTTGAAAAGGACCACAATGATCATCTAGTTTCAACCCCCCTGCTATGTGCAGGGAAATTATCTTTATTATTTATTATGTTTGCCATTAAAATAAAATAGAAATCAGCCTTTTTGTGATCACTAATTGATACGTTTCTCAAATGTGCATCTAAACCAATTTGTTACTAAAACATTATTCACAAGCCTGCTGTTACTGCTGGCCAGTATAGTGTAGTAGAGCTGCTTATGTCTTATCATTGGAGCACTGAACTTAAGGAAAAGCAAGCAATTTTGCAGCAAGAAATTCAAAAGCAGATACTGCAAACAAGAGAAGAATGAGCAAAATCATTCGGTGTTTCCAAACTCAAAGAGCTGGCCCTGCCACAACCACCAGGATGATCACCTCAGTCTGAGTAATTTAAGAATCAAGTCACAGCCCAGCAAATTGTTGCAATTAAGGAAATCAACACATACTAAGCACTGGTAATAAATGAAAATGAGTATAGCAAAACAAACTCCTTGTCTTTCAAATATTCATTCTCAATGCAAAATCTGTGAGGTGCAATTTAGTTACAGGAGTATATTGTTTGGGTTATGGCACTCTACTATTTACTTTCTGCTCTGCTACTAGAATTGCAATCCAGCCTTAAAGCTTTGCTGTTACCCACCTTGGCCTCTGCTATCCTTAATACCTCACGCCTCCCAGCAGCATGTTATGGAAATGGTAAAAACCTGAGAAATACCATATTGCAATCTGTTGTGTCAGTGCATAAAATAGGAGTGCTAGGTAATACATGGCAGCAGTCTCCTCTTTTTTTTTTCCAAGTGCACGGTCTGATTGCTCATAATATGGAACTCTGAAGAAACACTATAAAGATCACTAGTTTTCCTGCACTGGAGAACCTGAAATACTGAACGGAGCCTCAAACCATTCACTAACACAGGCTGGTGAGTTACAGCGAAGGTAAAGGTGATGATGGAGTTGTTTAAAGAACGCTTACTTCTTTGTTGTTTACGTGCCTATAGTTTAGAGTGTTAAAGTGATGGAGAAGACTTACCCCCTTTC